CTGTCTCCTTGAACCCCAGTGGGCCTCAGCAGATGGCCGCTCACACTGAGCCTGGTTCTGCTGGAGGATTTTTCTACCTAAGTAAAGCGATGAAGTATTTGTACTTTGTTACTTGACACACCTGGTGAAGATCTGGTTCAGTTGGAGCACACGCCATCATCCGCTTATTATCTTAGGTCCGTTACATCTCTTTCGTTAAACGTTACTTTTTGTAAACCGTCTCTCCAACATCCATCTGTTCCATTTGTGCTGTAATTTTGTTTGCTATAGGTTAGCAAACAAAATTATGTTTACAACTTGGAACCAGTTCATCACTAAGATAATCTGAGTTTGGGTTAAAAACATTTTCCAAACTCAGCATTTTCAGTGACCTAAGCTTGTTAACAGCATGATCGAAAGGGCGGCCATATTTAAAGTGCTTTTCTTCTGCCAGATCAGGAAATGCACTGGAGATTTGCTTTAACGGGTCCAATAACATAAGTGCCACTGCCTCTTGGTTATGAGGCTGCTATTTACTGTCTAATTTCCTTTTATTGATTTTACAGTTGTAAAAATGTCGTGTTTTTCAAACCCACTCAGCCTCAGTGACAGACACAGGAACATTTATGTTGTAGATCTTTCCCAGGAGTCTCTTATCTTATCTTATCCACACAGCCTGCTTTCATTTCTGCTTTATTCAGTCTAACTTAAGTCAATCTTCTGCTCACTTAATTGTAATAAAACTAATATTTAAAGTTGTTGTATTTTCATAATCCTCTAATTGAGCAAAAATAACATTTGATTGAATTTATGATTCTTTTGGGGTTTAAAAGAATGTATGAAGAGACTTTAGTCAAAGTACATCATTAAGTCATGAAAATATATATATATAATTTCTCTGGTCATTAACGTCTGTTAGTTTGGTGTTAATGAAATCATCCACAGGTGGATTAAATTGAAAAAGCACAAACAAAACACTCAGTTTTGACTGCTTTTCATTCGCTTTTCGATGCAGCTAAATGTTTAGGCATGATGGCAATACTGCACCTTTATTGAAATATGTTAGAAATCTCCTACGATTAAAGGTGATCGGGAAAACATTAAAAAAATGTTTTTTAATTTTCTGTTTTAAGAAACAAAGAGAATTTTAGGTACATTCATAGCGAGAGAAACACGTTTCCACAGGTGTCAAAAGTATTCATGTTTATTGGGCAAGTCAAAGTAGAAAACCTGCTATTTAAAAACACTTTGTAGAAGTTAAAGGATCAACAAACACAAGTGTAAAAGTACCATTTTTAAAACTACTTAAAGTATAAAAGTAAAGGTAATGCAGGAAAAAAATGTTAAGGACGGAAGCTTTACTGCTCTACCCTATTAAAGGAACATTTTTCTACAATTCTGGATGATAACTTTCTTAGACTTTATTTTCTTAGTTTTATAACTAATG